GGAGAAACTCAGCAGGTCTGGCAACACCTGTGGAGAGAGAAACAGTTAACATTTTGAGTCAAGTATGACTCTTCTTAAGAACTACAGTTCTTTCTGTGTTTCTCTCCACAAATACTGCCAGACAAGGCTGAGTTTCAGACTTCCAGCATATGCAGTATTTTGCTTTCATGGTTCTGGGATGCCATCCTTCAGCAGTGCTATTGGAAGCATTCATACCAATGTGGTACAGTGTTTCTAAAGAGCCATCTAGCATAGCGCATCTATGCTGTTGCTTGTCACTAATAAAATCAATGTTCAAGGTTAGCCTCTGCACATGGCAACTTGTTGAATGGTGCACCTCAAATTATGGAGTTTTTCACAGAGAAAGGATGCCTTTTGAATTGCTAAAGTTCCCAGTGTAAAAGATGCAGACATCATCATAAAAACTCTCCTGTATTAGCTGGAAATGCTAATGAACCTACATATGCACCTGATGGTTTTATAAGAGATGGACATATTTGAGAGAGTACAATGAGAGAAAGGAAACTGCTCAAACGGGTGTTATTGATTTTCCACACGTTGTTACGTTTGTACCCAGGATATGAGCGTCACTGGCTAAGTGAGAATTTATTGCCAATCCCTTATTGCAAACGAGAGGGTGATGGTGGCCTGCCTTCTTAAACAGTTGTACCCCTTGAAGTGTGGGTCTACCTAAAATGCTGTTACAGGTTTTTATCCAATAGGATGAAGGAATGGCAATATGGTTCCAAGCCAGGATGGTGTGTGGTTTAGAGGGGAACTTGCAGGAGCTGGTGTTTCCATGCATCTTCTCTTCTTGTCATTCTAGGTGGTAGAAATTGCGGGGTTGGAAGGTACTGCTGAAAGAGCCTCTGTGAATTGTTGCAGCTTTTCCCAACCCCCCAGTTCATTGGTGAGGTTCCTCACTTTATTATTCTTCCAATTGGGATACACCAGTGTCAAATTCTTTATTCACACCACTCCACCAACTCCCCCACCCCACTAAATTGGTCACAACAAAGTTCATATAAAACTATCCCGTCACTCGTGGACACCTCTGTCTTAGACTATTTGAATTCTTTGTTATTAAAGCAGCCAATTTAAACACTCAAGAAATCAAGCCACACTATTCCCAAAATCATCACAAATGTTAAGGGTTTTATAAAAGTGCCCAAAACTCCCCAATTCACCTGTCTTTTTAGACCCAGGTTGACAGAAAGTGCAAACCAGGTGTCTGTGCTTAAGAAGAATTACTATTTATTATAAATCAATAGATTATAGCTACAGGTAAACACTATTGACATATAACTCAACTAGTCAAAACTTTAACTCCCTTTATAAACAGTTCCTACATGGACATAAAGACAGACACAGGGAAAAGCTAAGAAGGCAGTTCAATGGCCCCTGTCCACAGAGTTCACCGAGATACTTCTTTTGGCTATCCAGGACTTGTTGCTCCTCAATCTCTCTCATTCAGGCGCCCTTAACTTGCTTGCAGGAGGCACAGACTGACTGGTTCACAACTTATAAGTCTCTGACATATTGTTTAAAAATAACATCTTACAGCACTCATAAGGGAAAATAAACTGGCATCCTTCAAGCTTCAGGTTTTTTTTGCTGCTGAGAGAAGGACAGCACCTCCCTTTCTGGAGGTCCAGAGGCTTCTGACTATTTCATTCATATCCACCAGCTGTTCAGCTACCTGGGAGCCAATCACCATGTTGTTGGCAGACTGAAGGCCTTTATCATCGACAATTGGTCATAACTCCACAGACCAATCAGCCACTTATTGTTGGCCAAAACTCACTTTGTACACCGCCCCTGGTGCCAGTCCATTTAATATTGCATTTGCCCCACTACCTGAGCAAACAAAAATGTAAACGGCACCTATACGCTGGTAGCTTACTTTTTAAAAGTGCAGAAATCCCCTCCACAATCCTTGATTTTTGAAACAGCCCTTTTCCCATTTCAGTCCATAATCAAAGCTACAGGAAAATAAAAAGATATGGGTTTTTCATGTGGTTATGTTTGAAATCATCTTTAATTTCTGTAGTGTTTCTTTTGAACAAAGGAACACCCTGTCATTTGTAGATGTCAACATGAGAACAAACAGCAAAGCTGAAGCACAAGCAGCAAGTTTTTAGCAAGTTAGAAAGACCTAGCCGAAGGGATTCTCCATTCAATGAGGAGATAATTGCTGCATCTACTTTGTATTATATTCAACTGTACGTGCCCACACCTTGCCCACTATTTAACTAATCGGGTAGATTCAATATGAGGGAAGAGTAAGAATTAGGAAAGAAAGAACTTTAACCTTTCATAATTGCAGGATGTTCCAAGCTGTTTTGCAACCAATGAAGTACATATCACATTTGGCAAATTATGTTTATTGCATATTATTTTAGTACCCTTACTTGAGGAGGGATGTAGTTGCTTTGGAGGCAGTTCAGAGGAGGTTCATTACATTTGAGCAGTTAAGGCCTAACCTGTCTGGAGTTCAGAAGAATGAGAGGAGATCTCACTCTCGGGTCTGGGTGGGATGCTCTGAGGGTCGGTATGGACTTGTTGGGCCGAAGGGCCTGTTACCACACTGTAGGAATTCTATGATTCTATCATCTCATTGAGGTATATAAGATGCTAAAAGGGATTGACAAAGTAGACATAAAGAGGATGTTTCCTTATGTGATGCAACCTAGAACAAGAATTCATAATTTTAGGATTGGGGTGGCAGATTTAAAACAGAGATGAGGAGAACTTCGATTTAACACAGAAGTATGCAATTCACTACTATAAAGTATAATGGATACCAGGACATTGAGTAAATTTAAGGAGGTGATAGACAGATTTCTAATAGTAATGGGTTACAGGGAAATGAGGAATAAGCAGGGATTTGAGGCCAAGATGAGATCAGTCATGATCATATATATGGCGGAGCAGGCTCAAAAGGCTAAGTTGCCTCGTCCTCCTCATTTTTATATTCTTATGTCTAAGTTGTACACAGCAATTTCCCACAAATAATTAAATGACCAAGAACTGAAATTTGCATCACAGGTAGACAGGGTGGTTAAGAAGGCCTTTATTGCTCGGATTTTGCGTGTGGGAGTTGGAAGTCATGTTAAGGTTGTACAGGGCTTTGGTAGGCCTCTTCTGGAGTACTGTGTACAGCTCCGGTTGCCCTGTTATAGGAAGGATATTACTAAACTGGAGCGGGTTCAGAAAAGATTTACCATGATGTTGCCGGGAATGGAGGGTTTGAGATATAAAATAGATTGAAAAGGTTGTTACTTGCTCACTGAGCTGGCTGGTTTCCATTCAAGAACAGAAACCAGCCAGCTCGGCCAGCAAGTCAACAACCTCACCCACAACCTGAGCTACAGATCTTTGCCAAAATTTTAAATAGGCAGGAAAGGCTGGGACCTTTTTCTCTGGAGCATAGCAAGTTGAGGAGTGACCTTATTGAGGTTTATAAAATCATGAGGGTCATGGATAAAGTAAATGACAAACGTCTTTTCCCCAAGGCGGGGGAGTTCAAAACTAGGAGGTATATTTTTAAGATGAGAGGAGAAAGATTTACAAAGGTCATGAGGAGCAATCTTTTTACACACAGTTTCATGTGTGGAATAAATAAATTTCCACAGTAAGTGGTGCACATGGGTACAATTACAACATTTAAAAGATGTTTGGATAAGTTTATGAATAGAAAAGGTTTGGAGGGATATGGGTCAAGCACAGGCAGGTGGGATTAGTTTAGTTTGGTTGGCATGGACTGGTTGGATCGAATAGTCTGTTTCCGTGCTGTAAGATCCTATGACTCTCCAAGTGGTAGATGCAGATACAGTTACAACATTTGAAAGATTTTTGGACAGGTACATGAATATGAAAGGTTTAGAGGGATATGGGTAGGCACAGGCAAATAGGATTAGTTGGTTTGGGAAACTTGGCCGGCATGGATGAGTTAGACCGAACGGTCAGTTTCCATGCCGTATGACTCTATGATTCTATGACTGGATAATCTATTTTGTAATGCTGATTGAAAGATAAATTTCGCCAGAACAGAGAGAAATAGGGCCAAGGGATCTTTTATGTCAACATGATAAGACAGGCAGAGCCTTTCATTTAATAACTTACAAGAAAGATCTACCTCTAACAGTGCACTGCAGTGACATTTAATGCATTATTTTTGTGCCTGAGTCTATACAGCAGGATATGACCCACACCTTCTGGGCAGCAGGAAAAGTGATATCACTGAACCATGACGAATGGTTAGGGATTCTTCATTATTGCAGGGTGAAGTCATGCATAAATGACCTAAAGTTTGTTGTTATGCGATGAGAATTGCTTTAGCTGCATACACCTGCTACTCACAATGATGATTACTATTATAGTAATGCACATTAACCGAAGGTTCAGTGAATGCCTTCTGTTGTCTCATTCAATGAGGTTCTCACAGAGCATTGAATGTATATACGTTGCAGCTGCTTTCTCCTTTGTATGCTTGTGTTGAATAGCACATGGCAAATACAATTAACAGACCCAAAATGTGACATGAGGAAATTGAGTTAAAAAGGGCTTTACTACAGTTACAACGTTTTATTAGGAAACTTTAAGCTAAAGCAGGACCTGGACAACTTGGGTGACAAATAGAATGTAAACATCTGTTTCAACTTTTGCCAGATAATAAGCATTGGAAGAAACAAAAATTCCACTAAACATCAATGGCTGCACTGCTGCCAAATCCCCCATTATCAGGACCCTGTCCAGAAGCTTAACTGGATCAGCCATACGAACATCTTGCTAATAAGAGCCAATGGCTGATTACTCCATACTGAGTCGTTCACTTTCCAATTGCTCCATGCCTCTCCATCATCTGACTTCCAGATGCTTTGTGCGTGGCACAGACACTACTTGCTATTTGTCTCCCATGTTGTCAGGATCTTTCTGTAGGTTAGTACAGTTAGTATTAATCCCGAGATTCTCTTCCTCAAACAGCATTGTGAATATACCTGTATCGCATAGACAAGTGGTTCAAAATGGCTTATCACCACCTCTTCAAAGGTTGTTAGGGACAGGTCATAAACGCTGCCTCAGCCAGTGATGCCCTCATCCTGTGAAAGAATGAAAATAAATTATTACAGGAGTTAGGTGTTGGATTAATTATTGGCTTTGTCACCAAACAATCTCAACTCTTGATACAATCAGAGGAAAGTTCATTGATGAAATCCTGCAGCTATGGCCTGGAGTTGAGATAATTAGTCTTTAATGATCATCATTCGGTACACATCCACTACTAAAGGATCTTCCTGTCAACCCAGCGTAATGTCACTTTACTGTCACCTACATGCCATGGGTAGTCAAATATTCCATGATGTCAAGGTTAATTTGTCATATTTCTCCTCAGTTTTCTGTCCAAATTTCATCCCTGGATTTTATCAAATGTGGTAATGCATCACATTATCCAAATATTTATGTTAAAGCAAAGATTAATTCCAGAACTCTCACTAGTGGATAGTTCATTGTCCCTGCAATTTTAAATGCAAGTCACACCAATAGAGATTAAGAGGAAGTGTCTACTGCATTGCAACTTTCAGTTGTCTGATCAGTGCACTCTGTTTGTGTGCTCCCCATCGGAATCGATAAATATGGGAATTATCTCATTTTGCCCCATGGGAAGGGGTTTTGTTTGTTAGAAAACTTTGACAGTCCGATAAATTCCTTTGTGAGTTACTCCTGACAATCACTCCGGTGTCAAAGTGGCTGAAGAAATTGAATATTGTGGTGGCTTGGTAGCTTTACTAAACATTAACGTGAAAAAAAATGTGCATAATTATTTCCTCACACCACCCATCAAAATGACCTCAACATGTTGAATTCCCAAAGATGCTGGCATTGTCTGGAGAAGTGACATAGTGGTAATATCACTGGGCTGGTAAGATAGCAGCACCAACTGATGTGCTAGGAAAAAAGGTTCAAAGTTAGCCACAGCAGCTCATGAAATTTAAATTCAATTACAAAACTGAAATATTTTTTATTCATTCATGGGAGATGGGCATTGCTGGCTGGGCCAGCATTTATTGCCCATCCCGAACTGCGTTTGAGAAGGTGGTGGTGAGCTGCCTTCTTGAACCACCGCAGTTTATTGGTGTAGGTACACCCATAATGCCTGTGGGACAGGGTTCCAGAATTTTGACCTAAAGGACCTGTGATATATTGCCAAATCTGGATGATGGTGGTGAATTGAAAGCTCACTTCATGAAACTCTTAGCAGTTGTCCTAAAACCCAGTCTGATTCATTAATAACACAGTGTGGAGCTGGAGGAACACAGCAGGCCAGGCAGCATCAGAAGACATAGAACATAGAACATAGAACATAGAAAATAGAACAGTACAACACAGTACAGGCCCTTCAGCCCATGATGTTCTGCCGACCTATTACCCTAACAGGAGCAGGAAAGTTGATGTTTCGGGTCACTTACTATCTCTGGTTCATTAATGTCCTGTCGGGGAGAAAATCTGCCATCCTTACCAAGTTTAGTCTAGATTTGACTGCAGCCTCACAGCAATGAGAATGATACTTAGTCATAGAATCATAGAATCCCTATAGTGTGGACGAAGTCCATTCAGCCCATCGTATCCACACTGACCCTCTGAAGAGCATCCCACCCAGATCCAGTCCCCTACCATATCCCTGTATTTCCCATGGGTAATCCAACTAGCCTGCACCTCCTTGGACACCATGGGCAATTTAGCAAGGCCAATCCACCTCACGTGCACATCTTTGGACTGTGAGAGGAAACCCATTTAGTCATAGGGACAATGTGCAAACTCCACACAGACAGTCGCCCGAGGGTGGAATCAAATTGGGGTCCCTCATGCTGTGAGGCAGCAGAACTAACCACTGAGCCACCATGCCGTCCCATCTCCAAGTAATATACAAACTTCAGCTCAAGACTAATTGTGGAATGGAAACTAATGCTGGCAAGGCAGAATAATAATAAAAAAGTCTCATCTAATACTACCTTGCAATTTCCTTGAGGCGGTGGCACTTCTTGCATTTAAGAAGCAATTTGATGGAAGATGTTTGAATTAATGGTTCTGAAAGGAACAGACAAGATAGGCAGAAGGGAGCCACATCCTTTGAGTTTGTTATGAGCCAAACAAGGTGTAAAATAGTTTTCTTTCTCTATCCTTTTTACTGTTGGAACATGCTTCTCATAAAGGCACAATTATAATTAGTGACCCACTATGCAAGGAGTTCTGAGTAACAACCAGCCACATTCAGCATTTTGTTGTGTGCTTTCAGGTCCAGCAGTTTCAATTTGATCTTGCTCATCCAGTCAGCTTCCCCAGCAACTAAGGGGTAAAACTCTACTTCATTTCCTGGCTGTGTCTTTCCAGAAAAGAGCAACACTGACGTCCAACGTTGTTCGCTTACTCCTCCGTAGTCATTAATTTTGTCAATGTTTGGATCTGATGCCGATGCTCCAGGGCACAGGCCTATGGTGATTGTTTGTATATTTTTTTCCCCTGTAGATAGGGAATCATTTGTCCAGACCTAGACACCACAGCAGCGTTGCTTGGAGAGAAACCATCCCTCAGAGGTAGGAGGCTCTAATCTCCAGGCAACCTCAGCAGCCTGAATCTGGTTGTGGCACATACCCAGAAGAGATTTTAGGGGCCGTCAATAATTTTGATCATTTTAGTGACAAGACTAATAATATTCCTTCCGCTTTGGTCCTCCCACAGAGGTTTTGCAACAAGCGATCAAACATGCTAATTGTTTTTTTTGTTAAAGAAAAGTATAAAAACATTAAATCGTTCACACCAAAGCACCATACACTGTTAAAAACCAACTGATAAATGTGGATGGTCTCTTACTAGAGATTTAATTGCTATGAATCTGAAATATGTTTGTGGAAATATATTAAGCTGTTGTTTGGATTTAACGTGATTTACAAATCTACGAGCAGGTAAAACTTGCAATAGTTTGAATTCTTGAATAGATGCTTGTTATTTGTGCAAGTATTTGAAGACTATTGAATTTATGTTTTGATTACTAAAAATTTGATCTTTCACTTATTTCGTGCTTCATAAAACAAACATCAAGAATGCAAAGTTAGTAGCTTGGGTAACAAGCACAGAATAAACTTTTTGAGATTTAGAGTCAGGGAGTTATAAAAATGCACAATGCAGATAAAGGCCTTTTAGCCCTCATATCCATGTTGGTCAAAAGCAGTAATCTAAGTATTCTAATCTTATTTTAAAGCAAATTTATTTAGGCAATAAATGTGTACTAATTTGGTTGAACTATATTATAGGTGAAAGACTTTTGAAATCTGCTTCTTCATTAAGTACATGTTGTCCAAGGGACAAGCAGAAAGGGACATGTGTAGACATGTTTATAGATACCAAAATTCAAGAGATTGGGAATGAGAAGAAAGAATGTGTATTGGGGATAAAGAGACAAAAGGAAAATTGGAGGGAATATGGACAGTAAGGACTAAAAATTTGACTAGACAATTCAAATTTACAGGAATTAAATGCTACCACAATAACAACACGTTGAATTAACTGATCTCACCCTGTATTTTGAGGAATTAGTGTATGCCCTGCCCTATCAGAATAGGTGTCATTGAAAGCATTATGGGGCAAAGCACAAAATAGTGAATATTTTCAGTTCCAGTCTTGGTGTGCCCAAGCATGTGAATTGTCAAAGGTTAAATTCAACTAGCAATGCATCCTGTTCACAGTAGGAAGATTATGCTAACTGGTAACAATGACACCTGAGCATTGCTATTCTTGCAAAACTTACTCGAAGAGGGGAACAGGAGGAGCCACACAGGATGTTATATCCAAAACAGGAATGCCAAAGTCACTTCCACCTACTATAGCATCAATGAGGAGCCATGTCGGAGGAGACCACACTTCACAGAGTAGGCTGCACTTGAACTGCATCTTGCTACTGTGATGATACTATGGCTTTAAGAGGTGTATTATATGCTGAGATAACAAGGTGAAGAGCAAAAGGGTCTAAGCCCGAAACGTCAGCTTTCCTGTTCCTCTGATGCTGCTTGGCCTGCTGTGTTCATCAAGCTCTATACCTTGTTATCTCAGATTCTCCAGCATCTGCAGTTCCTACTATCTCTGTATTATAGATATACCTTTTCTGAAGAAGGGTCTAGGCCCGAAACGTCAGCCTTCCTGCTCCTCTGATTCTGCTTGGCCTGCTGTATTCATCCAGTTCTACACCTCGTTATCTCTGTATTATATCCTGGTTCCTTTTTTTTGAAGAGATGTTTTAAGGTAGAAGTGTGAGCTGTCTATTGAAAGTTTGTAAAGCAAACAGCTTGTGAGGCCTGAGTTTTTTTAAAAAGGTGAAACAATAGAAGCAGCCTGAATGGGTGTGGTCAAGCTCCCACAGAACAACGATTTTTAGTTTTAGCTTTCAGCAGTTGTTGCTGGGGTCTCAACAGGGTTTGGAAGCTACGATACATCTCTCCTTGATACTCTCTGACAGAGTTTTTTCTTGGTGATTTCCTGCTGCTGGAATTGCATGTGAGATAATCTGTTTTTCTGAATTTGCCTTTAACAAGGATGTGTTTATGGGTTGTTACTACATTGGAACAGTTAATTCGCAATAGCTACTGTATCTATTATTTTGTTTAGCATTTCAATAGTTACAGCTAAGCCAATTCTTTTCTTTATTTTCCTTTGTTATATTTTACCTATCATGTATGAATAAAGCATACTTTGCTCAACGTCAAGTAGTTTGATCAAACAAATTGCATCTGGGATGCAACACCTTACACTCACCTTTAAAATAAGAAAACATCAGGGTCTAGACTATCTTCTTAACATACTTTGAGGGGGTTTGGTCTGGTCCTTAACACAAGAGTCATAACCTTAGCCTCACATGGGCAGCAGTGTCCCTTAATATTGAGGACATTCTGGCTATTAGTTTTTATAGGGCATGCTCCTTCCAGACTGCAATGAGAAAGATCAGTGCTCCCAGTATGCAATTGTATCAACAAAGTTCTCTACTTCAAAATAAATTTATACATCTCCTTCCTGTGGACAGCAAAAAAAGTCCAGAGAGCAGTGGGCCATA